CCTGACCGGGAGTTGGTGCAGGCTTCCCAGGGCGGCGGCGCACCTCTCTGGAGGAGGAGAGGTCGGGAAGAGCCTCAGCCCTTACCGGCTTTCTCCTCAGACTCCGCACCCTGCCTGGCTGCTCCCCGCGTCCCGACTCCGTGTGTCAAGCGGCCTGGCTCTAGGGAAATGAGTGGCTGGGGCGACCCTTTTCCATTCCCGATGCTGCCCTCCTGGGTGCCGGGCACTGCTGCCGGGATTGTCTCCTTGCACCTCCTCCAGAAACTCCTCTTCCCCTACTTCTGGGCTGACCTGAGATACCTGCTGAAAGTATTGATGTATGGGCTGAGAGTGGAGATGTACCGGCTGCAAGGGAGGATTGTCACCGTCCTGGACCAGTTTGTGAAGCTGGCTGAGAAGCAGCCCCACAAGCCGTTCCTCATCTACGAAGGGAAGGTGCACACCTACCGGGATGTGGACAGGAGGAGTAACAGAGTAGCGCAGGTCTTCCTGCGCCATGGGGTGCTGAAGAAGGGTGACACGGTGGCCTTGCTGATGGGCAACGAGCCAGACTTCATCCACGTGTGGTTCGGACTGGCCAAGCTGGGCTGCGTGGTGGCTTTCCTCAACTTCAATGTCCGCTCCAGATCTCTCCTGCACTGTGTCAGTAGCTGTGAGCCCAAGATACTGGTTGTGGGAGCAGGTAGAGTATACGCCTGATTCGTACATCCAAAGCTTTTAATGTCACATCTCCTTGGTGTATGTCTCTGCAGCTGCTTTATTGAAAAGCTGATTTCCAGATGTTCACAGAATGAAAGAAACCTAGGGCTAGAAGGGGCTTCAAGAGATCATAAAGCTTTAGCCCCTCAGGCAGAACCAAGTATATCCATGCTTTGGGGACATCCATTTAACCTTTTTTTTAAAAAATGTGCATTGCAGGAAAGTTTGCAATATCTAAGTACAGCCTGTTCCAAACATCTAATCGCTTCAGTAGTTGCTTAATGTGTCTCAGAAAATATTAAAATGATCTATTAAGAATAATTTCCCATTCCTTTTTAAATGGTCAATTTTAATGTTATTTAAGTCACGTACTTTCTTCTCCTGTACTATCTCCCCATCTTTCTAGGGATCAAACTAGAAGGTCTAAGCTCAGACTGTACAACCTCTGCTGTACAACTGTTCGCAGAGGTATGATAGTCTTCCAGGGACTAAAATTGAGAGGTTTTTTGTTTCAGGTGTAGCACATAGGAGGTTGATTTGTAATAACCAACTTACTGTTGGCGTTGGATTGTAGAAGAAATTGCTGTGTTTGAATAGGAGGTAACAGTGAGTGTTGTGTAAGTTTCCAAAGTATTACATTTTTATTAAGTGCTTCAAAACAATTTAAAATCTTCATGTAGGCATATTGTGCATTGTATATTCAAATTTGGCTTCAATTACAGAGGTGTGTAAGTTGAAGACAGGTCCAAAACCTAAACTTGCCTCAGCATTTATGATCAAGAACCTGCAACGTTAAAAGATCACACAGAACCTTGACATTTGGTTGGAGGAGGATATTTCAAAATATTAAATATTAATGTTGTCCTGCCTCTCTAAAATTATTATTTCAAGTCTACTCTGCCTTATTTCTATTTCACAGGCTGTGGGGTTTTGCATCCATGACACCTAAACGGTGGAATTTCCTTCCATCTGTTCTCTGCTGTTGCAAATTTGTGCTTTCAAAAATACATTTAAGATTTTTCCCTTGCATATTTTTTAATTACAAATTTTGTCATTCTGGTTGTATATGGTATGCTTGTTTAATAATGCTTGGTAATTAAAACAAGCTAATGAAACAAAAGCCAATTTAAATATAATCCCAAAACACAGGATAACAATGCTTCTGAACTGACATTTTGCCTTTTTCCTTACTTAATTTAAAAAAATCTCATTTAACACCCTCTGATGAATATATGCTTTTGAGTATATGGATTGAGGAATGGAGTAAATGTTCAGGAAATTCTTGCTCATGGACTCTGGTGAAGGAGAACTTTGGATCAAAACTTCTATCTAAGAGTATTCTTTATTAAAATGAAAGGTTAATTAAGGAATGAAAAAAGCATTTGCAACACAGGAACGGGGTCCGTCTTTCTCCACTTTCAATTTGTTACTAGCAGCTGATAGTAAAAGCGACTGTGTTGAAATAACTTGGTCTGGGAGTCTGCCTCAGCTCGCAAAAGGAGAGCTGCGTACAGACGGGTAATACAACAGAGATACCAACAAATTGGTATCTGAGCTGGTCTTTTATGCGTTGGTCTTCTTACTTCATTCATGGGTTTTAGTCTCTGCATTAAGTTTGTCAGTCCCTTGAGCCTGCAAGGCTTCACAGTATTCTTCTCCGGGACTTAGAGGCTCTTTTTTATCTGTATCTGTGAAAGAAGTTGAGGTTCTGTTAATGTCCTTGTAATTGGCCATGTCATATGGAAAAGGAGCCTCTCCAAAGGAGTCCAGGTTTTGCAACTGAAGGTTCGTATACCATTCAGTGACTGTGAGGACTAACTCATACCACTCTTGAAACAAAAACATATTATACATAATTATTATACATAATAATTTCCCCCTAATGTTTATAAAAATTGCAGGGCAGCATTTAACACTGAGGTTACAGTCAGTTAGATAATCCTCAGAGGTCTGTTAAACATCTTTTTGTCCAGTGTTAGTGTGTGTTTCAAGGGATTCTTCCTTATCGGTAGGCATGACTTGAACTTTCTTGTGTGTTTTGCTCTTGTGACACCATTTTCCACAGGATTGTGCATACCTTGGACATAGTTGGGTTTTTTTCAAAATATTCACACTAAAACCAATCAACCTGTGGTCCAATATGTATCATTGTCATAGTCATGCATCATGTTTGGCAACTAAGATTGTTTTTTTATTCAGAGATTAGTACATAATGGTATTATTTCTGGATAATGGAAATTCTAATTTTCAAAAATATGTAGGTTTTTCATCCTCCACAAACAAATATAGGCTTGACTTAGCAATTCTGTTTCTTGTAACAGTTACAAAATGATCTTTTCGATATTTTGGATGACCTTCAATCTTTGTTCATATACTGCAGCACAGCAGAAATCATCCCCTTAACAATTTGACCATTAACTGTGCTCAGCAAGAGCAAATTTACTCTTGAAATTCTTGTCTGTAATGGCACATTAAATTAGGAACCTGTATTCAAATCCATTTAATATTAAGGTTTCATTTCTGCTAAAGGGAACCTTCCACCTTCTGCTGATATCTGGAACAATTCCCACAAATAATTGTTCATTGCTGAATCTTCCCTGCTCAGAATGGTGGTGTAACCTTCCTCTGCGTGAGATGGTTGCATCTTGCAGCTTCTTTTGGTACATCTTGTCATTTTTCCAAAATGCTTTTATTTTTTAGAAGTGTGATACCTCTATCCAAATAGGCTGGGTACTATTTGTGGTTGCATTTTCTTCCACGCCTTGTTCAGTCTTTCATGCTGCCTCTTGCAAGATCACTCTCATCTGTGGAATTTGTACTCTTCAGTTTTGTTTTGTGCCTGCATATTTTTCAGAGGTTGTGGTTTGGTAACCCTGTCCAATTAGTATAATTTTGTCTTTCCTTCAGCACTTGCAGTCAGACTTTCTTCTGGTCTGACAATTCTCTGATATTTTGATTGCTTTTTCTAACTTTAGATGGGAGTCTTCCAATAGTACTTAAGTTTTGGGGGTTTGGTTTTGACTTATGTATTCTACGAACTCTCTGCAATTGAATGTTTTATTCTTAAGCCTCAGATATGTTATAAAAACTTCAAAATTTCTCCCTCCTGTTGGTTTCTTGTATGAAACAGGTATCTCTAAAAGGTTGAATTTTTTCTATGACAGCAATGTTGTTTTAATTAATTTAGCACAGTCTAGTAACTTGGTTTTTTCCCTCTCATCCAACTGCAGGCTGTAAGGCAAATATAGATTCTCTGATTTGCCAATACTTAGACTTTGTGTTTCTTTCCAGTATTTTCACTTGCCTTTGCGACAGAGAGAGAGTTTTTGCTTTAGCTACTTTCATTTGTCTGCTGCCTTCCCAGAGCGTTTAGCTCTTGTGTTAATTTGTTATGTAACATTCTCACACTTCCATTCCCAGAAACACTGTCTACCACCACTCCCATTCTGGGGAATGTTTTTTGAAAGAGATTCAAAAGTTGGAGTTTAAAACTGCATTTTTAATAAAATGGCAGTTAACTAACATGTAAGTAAACGAGGAACTTGTAAAGGAGGAAAAAAGCAGCTGTATGCTCTTCTCTCTATAAGATTGCCAAGATTAGCTTACTCTAACAGCAATCTGACCTGTTTAAAAGGTATTTGTCCTTACTACATGTGTTACCAGATTATGCCACCCTTATTTTTGAAACTACTGGTTAAACAGAAAAGTAAGATACTGCTTAAAATGAAGGCACCTTTTAAGGCACTGTGTCCTTTCTAGGGAGTATTTCAATTCATTGGAGTCTTGCTTGAACAAGGGATTATATTTTATCTTTTGGACAGTACTTGTGTGACAGCAATACTATTGAACAACACCTGCAATCTAGTGACCCACCAGAAAGGTACAAATGGAATTTGCCATTGCATTTATAGTGTGTTGCTACTCAGAAGTGTTCAGCTCTTAGTAGTACATCCCAGATTGCCATCATGACTTCTGATGCAAGGATTCAGCTGTGAAAGGATTGTGTTACTAAACTCCGTGATATTGGTTTACATCAGTCCTGATAGCAAAGGCTACTCGGGGAGTGTACATGTTGCATGGACACATGTGGGCACCCTGCTCTATGTGGGCCTGCTTGAGCAGGAGTATTGGACCAAGATGACCTCCAGAGGTCCTTTCCAACCACAGCCATTCTGTGATTCTGCAATTCTGTACAGAATTACATCTCCCAGCTGTGTAAGTATAGCATTTTCCTGGCAAGGATTCTTTACTCTTGAGGCACCAGCAGTGCTTTCTGCTGCTGCTGAGTGTATTCTGAACTTCTTGCCATCTGAGCTCAGAACCAGGGTTTACGCTGGCAGGAGTAAAGTTCAGATAGAAGTGTGTCTGCATCCTGGAGAAAGACAAACAAAGTCTTTTTTGGTATTTGTGAATTATTGGTATTATATGGTATTATATACAAGTAGCAGTATAATCTCTCCTATGTTAGTTACTGAGTGGAAAAAAAAATGGATTTTATCAAAACAATCTTTTCTTAACTATGTGGAAAAAAAAGCTGTTTAGATCTAAACATTTAGGACAAGGAAACCGTAGAAGACCTGCAGAAGGCACTCTTATCTGCTCTGTTAGACACCATATCTCTTTGATCACTTCCTTTTGTGTCTCTGTCCCAGATGGCCTTTGGGTGGAAAACAGTGCCAACTGTGATTCCCAAGACGCTTTCTATTTTACTACCTTTACTGCCTTCAGTGGTATCTCAAGATACCAACACTGATCCTGAGCCATAACTGACTTTTATTTCTGTTATTATTGCTTAGTGAGAATAAGTGCTAAGTGTAAGGAGTCACTTGGGGGATCAAGTACAAGTAACAATTATTTTCTGAGGCCAGAGTGGGGAAGAGTTTGGACTTGCCATAGCTTCCTGAGCATATCGACCAGGGTACACATCAAAGTTACGTAACAACCATTTCATACAGTTTTGTTTCTGAGTAACTTTCTGTTCAGTACAAGTTGATCTCATAATCTGTTGTATTCCTTTCATCAGTGTAGGACTGTGTCCTTGCCAACAGGCTGCATTGTTTCTTTGCTAGAAAGTAACATAAAAAACCTTTTGTGCAACTTGAAGCGTAGGACAGTAGTTCAAAACCAAAACATAATTTCCTTGCTTTCTCAAAAGATGTAACTGAGTTATGTACTCATGTGAATTTGATATAACAGTTTCACAAACTTTGTGTTGAATAATGAAATGCATTAAAAGCAAGAGAGGAAAAAAAAAGCAAAAAAAGTGGAGAAGCATATTCATCTTGACCAATTACAATTTTTTTTTCCCCAGTAGAAGCCAAATAGTTAGCAAATGGTGAATATTCATATACAAACTATGTAAACAACGCACACAGAACTGCTGACTACATTGCCAAGCTTTAGATAAGCAGTCATTTCTTCCAAAACAAATAAACCAAAACCTGAATATACTTTCGTAGTGTAAAAAGCAAACAAGTAGTTGAGAGAAACCACAAGCTTATGTAGCTAAATTGCTTTACTATAATTGCTTTCCTATATGGTAAAGTACACATACCAGGTACCTCCAGAAATAATCAAACTGTAGTGTCTCCAAGAGGGCTGTTTCTTCCTGACACATGGACAAGATGATACGTAAAGACCAATGAGCCCTACACAACATCTGGCACAGAAGGTCTTTGTTCATGGAACAAAACACTAGTTGACTATCATCAGAAGTATTCTTTGGAAATATGTTAGTACAACTGAGAGTTATCTTCAAACACCCCATGCTCCTGTGTGTTCCAGAAGTAATTTTCAGTTTCTGGCACTCTGAATACAGCTGTTTTAAATTACCCTTTCTTATTCAGGAAATCACTTATTGTTTCTGCTGTGTCTGCTATCTAACTAGAAATTTCTTTCAAGATAACATATATTTACAAGCTCTTCACATATTGTTCCAAGTACTAGATTCCTGAGCACAGAAGAAAAATTCTACTGTAACCAACAGTAGAATAGATAGCCTCTGTGCAACAACAAAAACCATAGGTTTTATGGGTGTTTAGAGAAACAATAAGCAGTGTGTATAATTTGAAGATTGATCTTAATTATTTAGACTAAATATGTTTCAGTCTACTAAAAGGGAACTATGCCCTCCTGTCATTCTTGAATCTTAAATGATTGTGTCTGTAGAGTTGAAATTAATAGTTGCCATCTTTCTTCCTTTGGAGGAAGGAAAGAAGAGAGGGAAAAAGAAGAAGAAGGGGTAAGTCCTCTTCTTTTTGAGAGTCTTGCACTTCATGTTACTCGAATACACAAAGAACTTGGTGCACATCTTATCTAGAACTTCTGAATACTAAAAAATTAGAAATATTTGTGAATTTCTTCATGTCATGCAGTCCTAAACAAAAATGTCTTCTGTAGAGAAGTTAAGAGTTGGTAGGTAATACAGCTTCATCTTCATCACTTTCAAAAATGTAGAAAACAAAACAATTTAAGGAAATGCAAGAAGGAATGAATTTATCTATGGAAAATAAGCAAATGCCATAATGATCCCTTTGGTATCTGCAGTATTTAAAAAGGGTGACACTCACTGAGGGTTTTTTTTGCCAGGCCTTCTGCAAGAGGATAGTTTTCAATTAAACAATAGGTGAAATTTCATTTACGATTACACTTTAGTTACACAGGATAATTTTGCATGATGACTTTCATTGGGCAGTTTTTCTCAACATTTGTACATCATGTTTGTTATCTGGTAAGGACACTACACAGGATGCACAGGTGAGTCTGGTTCAAATGTTTACTTCTTAATGATCCTTAACAATTAACGATCCTTAACATCTTTGCTGGCACTGTAGTTTGAGCTAGTGCACCAATAAAGAATGACAGAGAATGCTATATTCTTTTAGTATTTTTGAGAACAGAAATGGAGCTCCAGCCACTTCTAACACCTGTGTTTCTTTTGCTAGGTTCTCAACCTAACTTGTACCTACACAATCTATCATCAGTATATTTAGGAGACATATATGTATATATATGCCTAGTAGGAAGACAAAAATCAGTATTAGAAGGTAGTAAGTATATAGTTATGCTTTCACACTTGGTTTATTAATAGCTGGTTTTCATTAGAAATAATGCGGTCGTATTTTCATATTTATTACTTGAAAAATATACCCTAATTTTAGAATACAACAGCAAAACAGAATTAATATGCCAATGAACCTTGACTTTCAGTGCATCAGGTTTCCTCCAGTTAATGCTATTGTTAACATTATTTTTTATTCACATTTTTTTCATTCTATTGCTATGTATAGTGGAAGGGAACTGTTCTCCAATGATTCAAACAAAAGGCTATCTGTCTTTTAGATTTTCGTAATTATTTGGGTGATTCCTTCCCGAAATCATTCTGTGGTGCAAGGAAGTTAGAACACAAAAATTTTAATGTCACACTCCATCAGATCTATTTGTTAAACATTCATAAAATATATAGAACTTGTACTCTGTAGGCTTTAGGTTTGTAAGACGTATGTTTTGTTGGCAACAGTAGGCTATATCTCTGTTATAGTAATAGAGATTAGTAGGTCATTCATTGAGCTATATACAGCAATTCATCATTAGGAAAGTAGTTTTCTGAAAGATTAAAAATCTAAAAGTCTTCAGTTATTTTTGTGTAAAATTTATGCAAGGGGATTCTATTAGTGGTATCCATATTTAATAATTGTGAAATGAGCTTGGAGTTGACATCAGGATTTCAAATGCTGTCTCTGGCAATACCTCATTATGAGGTTCTGGGTGAGTCATATCAACTTCGGTTGTTTATTCAACTATAAAAATTTAAATAATAACATAAATTTATACCCACAGGGATATTTGCAAGATTAATTACATAGGCTGAGATCCAGCAAAGCACTTGAGTGTAAATAAGTTTTTAAGTATATGAATAGTTCTATTGAAAACAATATTATTCCTATTCTTGAGAATTTTCCTGGATTAGTACTTTAATGCCTGTGCAGTGTTCTGAGAAAGTGCCAGATTGTAAAAATGCTTAGAGATATAAACATAAATACCAAATGTATTGCTTAAGGATTGGCCTCTATTTATATTTTTTCTTTTTGTTTAATCTGGGACTCTCTCTCATGGTTTCTTTCCTGGTAAGCCAACAAAATACATCTTATTTATGCTGCTGTTTTTATTTTATAAAAGTGAGTTTGTATTTATATTCAGGTAAAAGCCAATACAAGGAACAGGCTTTCAGTGAATGAACATGTGATTATAAGAAAATAAAATTGTCTGATGTACCTAAAATCAGATTCATTAAGGTATCTAAAACACTCAAAGCACTACATAAATAGCCATATGGTTCTTTGGCAGTGTCTGAATAAGGCACGGGCCTGTATCATATTTCTATTTTGTGAAATTCAGGTACCTACATATGTGATAGTTTTTTGTCTGTGTGTTTGTTTTTAAATTAGTCACTTGTGTGCTTTTGAAAAAAATACTGCTCCATGAGAGATTGCTTTTGAGGGCGTCCAGGGAAACCTGCACTGTCATTACCACCTATGTATATATTTGGTTTGCATCTTCAACAGATTTCTTCATGATTTATTTGAAGTTGAAACTTAACTACACTTCATTCTGGTCTTAGCAATGACCGAGGGTTGTCCAAAATGAGGTGGAAAGCAGCAGCTAGTAATCAGTGCTCACCATTTTGCCTTGAGGGCTAGCTGACAATTAGACCTTGTGGGGTCAGCAGTATTTTTACCACATTATACCCTGTTTTCAGCGAATTTTCATTCTAGTTCATCATTATTTTATTGAATTTGTTTATGTCCATGGCGATGACTTTCATCCTCTTTCTGTTACAAAAAGTAAAACTTTCAGAGGAAAAATACTTTATTCACTGGTTTTCTGAAGACATAATGTAACATTATTCTATGTTAATTTTTAAGATTTGCTTGGGACACTAGAAGAAATTCTTCCTAACCTCCAAAAAGATGTTAGTGTTTGGATAATGACCAGAGACTCCACTTTTCCAAGTGTGCATACCCTTTTAGACAAAATAGAGGCTGCATCTGAAGACCCTGTTCCAGTTAATCGACGCTCTGCCAACAACCTCAAGTCATCTGTTTTATATATATTTACTTCAGGAACAACAGGTACAGGTCTGCTAAAGAGTCTATGTTATCCTTCAGCTTTCATCTAGAAACTTAATTTTCTGAAACGCTAATCTTTTGGTTCATCTTTTCATAGTAGATTATCATATTTCTTATCTAGAAGCATTATGGTAGAAAATAAGTATATTTCCTGTCAGTGACTGTTTATATATATGTCAGTGGTTTATGGGCTTCTCTTCTGTTTTTTCCTGCCACATTGTGCAAATATTATGAGAAGCTTTACCTCTTACTACTTCGCAGCTGTTTATAAAACGTTTTGCTTTTTCAGTGGGTTTACAATTATAATAAATATTATTTTGTGATCACGTACCACTGCCTAGCTAATATAGCTAACATTGTATCTAGAACTTTAAAAAACAATCTTCACAAACAAATAGACATTTGTTTTTTCTTCATTAAGTCATGTTCTATGCAGGTCACTGTAGAGGCAGAAAATAGGATTAAGTTACTAGCCTTTTAGTTTAGAAACAGATGGCTGAATTTATTACCAGTGCTCCAGCAGCTAAGAAGCTAAGACTAAAAAAACTGATCACTGACATGAAAAGCAGCATGATGTTGTTAGGATAAGCAGATTGGCATTCTCATTCAGCTGAACACAACAGTTTTAGTCACAAGAAGATTTAAAATGAAGATGTGTTTTACGGCTTCATTCCCTCATACAAATAATTATTTAATTTATTTGCTTCAGGTTCTAGGGAAAAATTAGGAAATAAAAATGTCAGTCTAGAATTAAAAAATTAGAAAGGTATAAATATTGTCAAGAGGTCAGGTATGTTTGTAATACTACTAATATAAATATGGTTGAGCTTGCTGGTTAAAAGTAAGGAGTTTTAGCTAAAAAATATTATAGAATTCTCTAGGTAGAAGGATTTTGTTCTTATAGCTGCATTCAGAATATCTATGTCTCAAATTTCAGTTATGTAGAATTTAAAATATTTTTGAATGCTTGTATGTATTACATTAATTTACATTGGATTTCTTTCACGTACCATGTGACTAAAAGAGAAAGGTCTGTTTAGTCTGAAGAGTGTGAAATAACTAACTCTAATCTAAAGTAACTGAGCATTTTCACACTTTTTGATAAAGCAAGAGCATAATGTTGCTCCTAAAATCAATAACTGGTAAACTTAGTTAAAAGAAAGAAGTTATCTTGCATGTTCTGTAGTCAGCTGTCTGTAAAGGCAGAAGGAAAAAACTCAAGACTCTGTAGAGCACTTCTTGCTCTAAGTGGTTCATTGGCAATTTAGGCTTATTGCCTTTTCTCTTTAGTGTGATGGGTTTTGGAATAGCTTTGAAGTGTAGCTAGAATCTCCATAGATTACACTTCCAGTGAACAGCTTTAGTTAAGTCTTCAAATGAATGGTAGCTTTGCTAGAATAGGTGAGAAAACTTTCTGAACCATTAAATTTTTTGAAATTTTTAACAGTTCTCACTGTTCCTCGTCAGGACTCAACCTGAAATTTGTGTGTGTATGTGAGAACGTATGAAGCAAGAACACATTCCCAACTCAAAATAATGTGTACCAGAGTAGTAGCCCAAGAAGCTCTTGCATGTGAGTCTGTGTGTTGCTAAACAGAATTTCTGGGCTGAACCTGAAGAAACTCATTAAGAAGAACCTAACTGGAGTGGACTTTTTGCTGGATTTTTTTTTTTTAATTCTACATAGTCTTGATAGCATTCTAAACCAAATAGGTAGACTTAAATGTACACAGCCATTACAGGATCTACTTCCTGTAGATCCCATACCTTTCTTAATTACATTACAGTCTCTATGACTCTTGCCTGAAAGAGATCTAGTGTGATGCCTCTTTATGTTAAAGGAGGTCCATATGTACAGTAAATGCTTCTGGCCCTTTGTTGGTTCTATATAATTTGATAGCGTGCTAACCATGGAGTTTTTTCATGTTTCCACCTATTTCAATTGACTTCACATCAGATTAAATAACTAACAGACGAGGTTACACACTTTATGTGTACAGAACAAACATGCAATACTGTATTAACAGCCAGTTGTCTATTAATGGCCGTCTAAACAGATGGCTGAAAATTTGGTTACGGAAGAAAGAATTGATTCTTTTATGATTTTAGAGACCTTACACAGGAAAAAAAATAAATTGAGTTCTCTTTAAGAGAAGCTTTATGCATGGTTTTATGTTTTCATTACAGGTCTTCCAAAGGCTGCAGTCATCAGTCACATGCAGGTTCTTAAAGGAGCTGCTGGATTGTGGGCTTTTGGTGCTACTGCAGAAGACATAATTTATATTACTCTGCCTCTTTATCACAGTGCAGCATCTCTTCTTGGCATCGGTGGATGCATTGAATTGGGTAGGGCTCATTTCATTTAATTGCGTCGTTAATAGAGAATTAATTATTATAAAAATGTATAAAACACACTTAAGTTCACTGCCATTAGGGAAACTAATGCTTTGTTGAAATCAAATGAATAGTCTTTTCGTAATAGCTTTATATTTCTGTATTTTGGGGATGTGAGGGTGTTGTAATAGTGAAGGATCTCTTACAAGCTCTCTTTGCGGTACTGGAGAAGAATTAGTTGTAGTCATTTGTGTCTCAAATGATTTTGCTTTCTTTTATATTTAGGCAAAAAGGAATTTAAGGACGTATGTAATATTTTGGCAGTGTGTATAGCTCATTAATATATGTACAGCAGACTAAGCATTGTACAGTGGAATAGAACTAAAATGTATTTTGGTGAACTTAAAAAGACTGACAAATACATTTATAGTGAACATTCAGCTTTGTCATATATCATTAGATGATATATAACTTTTTTTCCATTTAATTTCTGGACTGTTTTGGCATGGACAATAAAACACATACTTTACTGAGACCATGTAGGTGTCTCAATGACTCTCTTATAAAAGATTTATTTGGAACTTGACGGCAAATATTTCCTGCTTCCTGAAGCATAAAGGACAAGTCAGAGCAAGGGAAAGATCATTGGATTATGGATTAATTCTGTCTGAATCTGCATTGATGACTACTTTCTTTGTTGAAAAATGAGGTTTTAGTGATACCCAAATGATTTGCTAGTTCAGACTGACTTTTCTGGATATTTTCAGTAAAACTCTTTTGAATAATGTTACAACACCAACAAAGAGAAGCTGTCTTCTTGCTTTTAACCTCTTATCTATCCGTTTCCGGTCTCGCTAAGGAGGAGACTGGGTTCATCTCCCTTCTTTGTCTACTGGATTTGAACACACATCTTCTAATAAAACAGCTTAAATACCATATAGTTCTCTGAATGAGGCTGCTCTTAGTTCCTCTTATGTTCTGTTTTGTAGAAATAGTGAACATAGCTAGCTAAGCTGCCATATAGAGAAAATGCTTCATTTCCTTTTCTACTGTTTCCATAAAGGTGCAACCTGTGTGTTAAAAAAGAAGTTCTCAGCCAGTCAGTTTTGGAGTGACTGCAAAAAGTACAATGTAACTGTCATCCAGTACATTGGAGAACTTTGCCGTTACCTTTGCAGCCAGCCAGTGGTAAGTGGAACCAAAATGATAGCTATTCATCTCTAAGTGATATGTACTTTTATTGTTCTTAATGTGGTTATGTTAAAAGGGAAATAAAACTGTACTGACCCTGTCCCTCCACTCTTCTTTTTATGTGAGGTTCTTCAAATATTTGGTGATCTGTAGACTGTAAAAAAACCAAATGGCTTGAATCAGGAAGATGTTAAAGTATTAAAAGAAGAGATTTCAAGACTGAAAACTGATTCGGTATCATTTGGTGAAAAAATACTATTTCACAGAGTTTCACAATGTCAGTTCAGAAAACCAGGACTACTGTTCAGTGTCTTTTCAGAATTTTCAGAACTTTGTTTCTTGGCACATAAGTATATCAGAGGTCTCAAGTTTTGTAGGTCATGTTATAGCACTGTTTTGGCTTGTGGAATGTGTGTGTTTTGAGACCATCTAAACCATATTTTAAAATTTGGAAGGGGTTTGGCCTGGGTTAGCAGCTCAAAGGAAGAATGCTTTTTGTTCCGATTAGAAAGCTCTTCCAGACAACAAAGCTAGTTTTGTTAAAGTGACGTTCCTCTCTGAAACTGTGTTAGCCCTTGGCAGTCAGTGGTGTGATGGTCTATCTACATGGTATCAAGCACAAAGTGTGCTGAACCTGTTGTAATTACCAAGTATAGCTGACTCAGGTTAACTGAATTAACTCTTGATCTGGCTTTTTTCTGGTGTGTTTCTGTATCTACCCACAGATGAAAGAGAGAGCCCAAGATGTTTAGGCTAAGCTAAATGCTTAAAATTCGTTGGAATTAATTCAAGATGTATAAAATAATACAGACGGAACAGATATAACCTGTTGCATAGCAAACCCAACTATCTACTTTCTATCCTCAAATGCTTGTGGTAAATGTGTCAAAATGAATACAAAACAAACATTCATAGTCCGGTATAAACTAAAATTCATCTTGCTAATGCTGGCAACTTCTATCCATTTATGAGCTGCAGGTTGTCTTATTGTGTTTCAATAATAAATCCTAAATGTTACATCATGTATTACCTTACGTGGTTAAGAATTTTAATAAAAGACTTTACACAGTTACTTATGATCATAAACAGCTTTTATTTTGAATACTAAATAAAAATAAATAACGGCTTCCAAGTACCTGTATAACATTAAGCAAAAAGAACTGTATCCTCTTTTAATTTAACAAGATGTTTAGGAGAACACGAAGAGATTTGTAAAAATGTACAAAGTTGGATGCAATGTAACTGTTACATCTTTGAACATTCTCCCTTTGCCTCTATCATAATTTCATTTTGTGATTTCAAAAAAATAATCAGTGGTTTATTTCTTTTCAGTGAATTTTACTAAAATGACTCATCTCTTAGGAAATGGTGCCAATAATTCAAATTAATTAATCTGAAAATTCTTTTCTAATCCAAGTCCTCATTTTATGATTTTCCAGAATAACCTCCTCCTTAAGCAGTGTTCTCATAATTCGAAGAGAATGCAAATCAGTCTTGTTTTCCAGCAGAATAACAATTTGCATCAATATCTCAAGTTGCTGACCAAAGAATGGAGAAGGTCAGTGTTCATAAGACATTGGATTTTTTTTTCTCCTGAAGATTTTCAGAAGTATGTTTTAAGTAATGTAGCGGTGGGTCATAGATCCTACGGCACTATCCACCGCTGGCTGGGATATGAAACCAGAATAGTGATATCTTTCTCTCTCTGCTTCTTTTTTTTTTTGGTGGGTTTTTTTAAAATTTTTTTTGTTTGTTTTTTAAACCTTAAAATAAAATAAACAAAAAGTTACAGCATAACAAAAAATCAAGTTAAAGACCATAAGGAAAATGAAAACATATGAAGGGCCTAGCTTTTATAAATTGTGACTTTTCTTCATTCTGGGCTAACATGATTTCCCCAAAGTCATATCCCTTCTCTCAACACATCCCAACTTTTGCTGTGTTTGCAGCCTCAGATATTAATTGTTCCCCTTTTCTGTCCTTTAACTGTACAGTTAGAGCATGGCATTTTGTTTTACCCATTTTATCCTGTTCAGTATCTTAAAGCAAGAATGATAGATTAATATACTTCATTTTCTAAAACAAACTCCGTCATTTTTAAATCCTTACCAAGTCATCATAAAATTAAAGGAGTTTTAAATTTTGCAAATAAAGTTTTTTATACCATCATTAACTATTTATATACTATATACTATATACTATATTTATACCATCATTAACTATTCATTAATTATATAATTATTCTATTTATTAATTTATGTAAGTATTTGTCATGTTAAAACTGGAAGAGAAACATGTTCACACAAATAAGTGGAAGGATTTTAAATATGTTGTCCAATGCATTATTATTTTTCAAATAGGTAAAATAATTTGCTAAGTTGTTATCCCTCTTTAAGTTTCATTAACTTAGAAGTACTATATATACTAGCAGCATGAGAAAGATGTGGCTAATAGAAGCTTTAAAGCTCTATGAAGATACTATGTGGGCAGTGTTCTCAAGGTTACAGTAGTATAAAGCCCTTCTAATGAACATAGAGTAAAACCATAGCAATTATCTTAAGTGTTTCAGTTGTTTCTTTAACACTAAACTTGAAATAAATGGTATATTTCTATATAGTTGCAGGCCATAGAGTGGCCTCTTATTTCTTAGACTTTGAACAGAACTTTTGATAAGTCTCTGTGGTAGCATATAGACTCTTGGCTTAGCTTTCCTTATTAGTTTTGTCTTGTTTGATCTTTCTGCCTCCCACTCACATCTGCAACAGCTCTTGAAGACTCTTTTGCAGTAGAATTTTTCTGAAACCTGTTCTGCATCCAGTTTGGTTTAGTATCCTGTTGTCTGGAAAGAACATTTGTTAGAAAAGGAAGTTGTCTTTTTTCCTTAAATAGGAGTGCAAAGACCTTGCATTATGTAACATTTTATCTATGAATGCTGGGCTCCTAAATAAGTGAGTAATCCTCATGCTGCTCTTTTCCAAGCTCTTCTTCTTCAGTCTTTTGATCATAGTGAAAGTACAAGAGCCAGCATTGTCGGTTAGTAGCCGTCAGTAGCTACAAAATGGATCCTGCTCTAAGATATTAGCACGACTACTCCAGTGAAAGAGAATATTCAACAAATTAATAACTTGGTCTTGCTGGCTGACATTTCTCAAAGTCTCTGTTTATAGTGATCTACAAAATTTCAGAAGTATAGCATAGCATAGCTCCCTATTTCCTCTCTAAGCAAAGGCCTTGGAAATACTTCTCTACTAATCTGTGGAAATATTTGGCTTAGAGGGTTGCAGCACATTTAAAATTTAACATTTAAAGTGTATACAAAATCTTCCTAATGCACTTGCAGATTTATTTCAAATTTGAAGTAATGAGCTATTTAAATAATACATTGTGTCCTGAAGTTTTTGGAAAGATAGGAATGGTAATGCAGCATCTCTTTCCTGCTTTTCTGTAAAGGAGACCTGAATCCTGTAGTAGTTTACAGACAGAGGCTAGAAATCAGTGTGCTGTCTTCTACTCTCGTAAGCTGTCATACGTTATGACATTAATTGTATGATTTATGATACCTTGCATGAACTTGGTAAGCTCTCTATTAAAACCAGAGTTCACGTCTGCTTGTATTTGAAGTCTATTTCACAATTAATTATATCATTGCTTAGAAATTTTCTTTCAATATCTGTCCTGTTTTATGTCCATTTGGTATTGAGCCAATATTGTCCTTTGGCATCAGTAACATTTCCTATTTCCTTGGGGTTACCTCAAGTGTATAAGACCATGTATATCAGCTTTCAGACTTTGTTTTGTTAAGCTGAAGCAAGCCAATCTCTCTACTAGATCCAGTGTTTGGCCAAGGTTTCTTTGGATGGGATTAAGCTCTCTGAAGTGACTTTAGAAAAGATGCTTAAGGATTTATTTTATTAAAACTCTTCTGTGTTAGAACAATAGTAATTTAGAAGGAGAAAACAAGGAAGTTGATGCTGCTGGGACAAGCAAACAGAAAGAACACTTATTTCCCTGCTGTTGACTTAAGTGTTGTGGGAAGGGGTGTAAGAATGGGGTTTATGTTGGATAGCACTTTCTCGCACCTAGAAACGGGTTTCTTTGAAGGAAGGCAATTTGGTAGTTGGGTAAGGAAGGAAAAATGAGTCAGCAGGCACTTCTCTACAATTCAGGTTTTACTTGGCATCACATTTTATTCCCTGTTAAAGTTTAGCTCAGTTTATGTTCAGTACTGGAAATTGTTCTTTCTCTTATCACTAAAATGTGGAGTGGAAATTTGTCAAGCCCCTTTCAGGTTTTCAGCATAAATATTTTATTAAATACCCCAAACATGTAATGTGTCACGGTTACGGATAACCACATCTGTACCTTCCATTTGAAGTCTCTGAATAATCCCTATATGTCATTACAATTTTATTTACTGGGGAATTTGCAATTTTTTATTCTTCTAATAACCTATGTTTTTTTTAAAGAAATCTGCGACCACTTGCCTATGTCGTAAGCAGACATCATTCTTAATCCAAGTTGTTACCGATTTACTACAGTATTAACAGTGCCTAAAAGAAGGATTGAACACTGTTTGTACATGCAGTTTGAGAAAATAGGATTTTTAGACTAAGAACTTCTTCAGCACATCTGAAATGAAGCTTAGAGATGGACCTGGGATTTGGAAGCTTGTATTTTTCCCCTCCAGACAGTATCAGCTGATCTAATAAAAAATACACTGTTTATCACAACAAACTTTGTCTGTACTTTAAACTGCCATGACTACAACAACAGTATTATTTTTAAAAAGTGTGTTTAAAAGCAGATTATAATCCATTTTGGCTACTGCCTTCTGATATTTAAATGTCCTGACATATCTCTCTTGGACTCCATCCACACGATGATCCACACGATGTCTGTTTTCTCGTTCTTCCCACTATTAAGGTTTTCAGGTTTTCTTCCTGAAAAAGTCTTCTGTAATGTTTGTAGAGTTCCTTTGACCTTAGGAAGCATTGATT